CCAAATTTACTTAGAAATTATTTATTTTTGACTCAAAAAATGAGATGCCTACTCTCAGACAAACGAGGCCCACGATTAATCAGATGCAAACAGAAATATAAAACCAGTCCTAATTGAAAGAGAACAAGTTGACAAAAAGATTGAATCCAAGATTGGGTGAAAATATGGTATAATGAGTGATTTATAAGCTATTTTTTATAGGCCGGTCATTTTTGACCAGGAACACCACAAGTGTGACTATGTTCCATATTTTTTACAAAACAAAAGTTTCAAAACAAAATTCCTGGTAAATCATTAGAGTAGACTAGTGTGATGAACAGTAGCCATTTAAAAAAAAAAAAAAAATGTCATATTTCCAAATTTACTCATAAATTATTATTTTTTTTACTCAAAAAATGAGATGCTTACTCTCAGACAAACGAGGCTCACGATGAATCAGATGCAAACAGAAATATAAAACCAGTCCTAATTGAAAGAGAACAAGTTGACAAAAAGATTGAATCCAAGATTGGGTGAAAATATGCTATAATGAGTGATTTATAAGCTATTTTTTATGGGCCGGTCATTTTTGACCGGGAACACCACAAGTGTTATAGGGTTTTGAACACCACATGAGGGTTAAATGACAATTTATAGGTATTTTTATTGTCATTTAAGCGAAATTACTGAACTATATGAGCTTGATGAAAGATAGAAGAATATTTCAGATGGCACTTAAAGGCTTTTGCATCTGAACTCTATTTTATGGATCTGTAAAGATGCAGATTATATATGAAGAGTTCAGATGCAAAAGCCTCTAAATGCCATTTGAAATTTTCTTCTTTAATGATCATTTTTATCAAACTTGTATATTTAAGTTCAGTGACTTCACTTAAATGGCAATGATAATTACCTATTAATTGTTATTTAAGTGAAATTACTGAACTTAAATATACAAGTTTGATAAAAATCATCATTAAAGAAGAAAATTTCAAATGGCATTTAGAGGTTTTGCATCTGAACTCTTCATACGCAATGGCAGTGTTTTTCACATTGTATTGTTGTAAAAAACGTTGTGCTAGGATTTTTTGCGTGTTATAAGAACAAAAAAAATAAATAGGCCTAAATCAGCATTAAACAACAAGCCTACATGATGTTCCTCTTTATACATTGTTGTTCATGTCTAGCTATTACGGAGCCCCTAAAGGGACGTGGTGGTGGAAAAAAAAAATTAGGATGGGAGAATTTTTTTTTTTTTCAAAACTTTTGCGTTCCCTCGCAAAACGTTTGCGTTCCCCCGAGAAACTTTGCGTTCCCTCGCAAAACTTTTGCGTTCCCTCGCAAAGATATTTGCGTTCCCACGCAAAATGTTTGCGTTCCCACGCAAAACCTGTTGGCAGCGCGGACAGACACTTCCTGTTTACTGTCCCGCTGGCAGTGTTTCAGAGCTCCGTACGTTAATGGAGCGTTTCATAGTGTTTCAACTTGTACTCAAATCTAAAGAAATGCGATCAGTGAAGTTATTATATATTATAATAACTATAATAGCAATATATTCACATGCTATTCGAACTTCCCGGATATTCTTTAGCTAAACGTTAAAACACAGACGACACCTATTTACAATCAGTAACCTAGACAACGAGCTACAAACGATCCAAGTGGTGGAGATGGGTAGGATTAGGGTTGGGTTTAGGGATTAGGGGTGGGTTTAGGGATCAGGGGGCGGAGTTGGTTAGGTTTAGGTGTATGTAAGGTGGGAGGAGTTGGATCTGGATCCGACTCCTCCCCATGGATTTCATGTTCCGCACCCTAATCCCTAAACCCAACCCTAATCCTACCCATCTCCACCCCTTGGATCGTGATCCGACTCCTCCCCGTGGATCTCATGTTCTGCATTGAGGTGCTACTGGAACCTGTGGGTGAGGAGGTTAAAGCGAGTGGACGTAGTCAAAAATGCATGTCGTCTTCTAATTTTGAGCCTGAGCCCGATTTAAACCATTTTTAATACGTGGGTCGTTATATAACTGACGTTCTCAACTAACTTAGTTAATTTCTATTAACGTCTATCTTCCTTTCTTTTGAGCGGTGAGGAGTAAATGCTTCTTCATCGTAAATGCTACTGATTGGCCATTGTGTTTAATAAATCAACACATTATGTCTGTGATTGGCTATCGCTCATCGCTGCAGTTATGTTATAAAAAGAAACTCTGCCATGTAAATCATTTCTATTTTGTTTAAGTTGTTCTTGTTGCTTTTCTGCAACAGATGAATACAAATGTATTAGTTTTTATTTGTTTTATTCATAGATATTTCTAGTTTGCGGGAGTCCTGTGAATCGTTTTATTCTCCCGCAATCCGCGCACACAGAGTGAATGCATCAGATCTAGTCCCGCGCCGCGGTCTAGTGCGTTGGGAGTGCACGTCTCTAGATCAAAGAATCTAAGCTCTAATGATCATGTTAACTATGTCTAAATTTCCACCACGTCTGTTTTTGAATCAACTGTTGAAATGTAGATTAGACAACTGCCGACGGTGTGTCTCCCTCCAAGCAATTTACTAGTGTTGCCATAGGGACGCTTCTGCTTTTGCCACCCGGAAGAACGTCTGTTATTGTTGTGACGTCATGGTGAATTGTCGTATAGTAGCTGTGCCAAGAGAAATTTTAATCGTACACAGAGACGGCGAAGCGCTACCTGGAGCAACTTTTGGTAAGTATTCTGATTAGTTATTTTGTCATTTTGCTTCTATTTATGCCATGGGCTGACTTTAGACAGTAAAAGATTGCCTGCGAGGCTGTGCGAGCTTCTCTTCCTGTCTATACGGTAATTCTCTACTGTGCGACGGACAGTCGAGTGGTTATGACGCAATTTTTAGCCTATTTTTTTACAAGAACGGCTTCTACGTGGCCATAACGTAATATACAAAGTAATGGAGCCTTTTATACATTGTCGTGTTTCTTTAGAAATAAATAATGGATAAATGGAGTCTTTGGACGCCTCAGATGTAAAGATATTCGCTGTCAAAGTGACGCCAAAATGAATGGGAGTCAATGGGATGCTAACAGCAGGTGATAGTACGCTACAATGGCGGCCCCCGGAGGCAGCTTCAGCTTCCGGCTGATGGATTACCCCCTTGCAGACATAGATATCATATAGAGACTAGATACCCTATTGGCCGCTGGAAAACGAGAAATCCGGCCGCCATCTTGAACCGGTCGTATTCCTAGTTCCGTTGCGTGGCAGCAGATAAGATGCCAGAGCACTGTGGAGCATTTTCCTGTTCTAATCACCGGACCACCGAAAACAGGGCTTTTCACAAGTAAGTCTTATCATTACCGTACTATTGGTTGTATTTTGTGAATAGAATATTACCAGATAATCGAGAAGGAGCAAGGATATTTGTTATTACTGTACTGAAATCGTTGTGAAATGCTGTTTACTGCATCAGCCGGTGTTCACCCGGCATGGACAGGTGAGGTAACTGTTAAAGTAATAATTACAAGAGCTGCTAGGTTGTCAGATAAGCATTCAACTGCCCTGTTGTATAGGTTATTTGTGTTTGCGCACATCAGGAAGCAACATACACGCATGACAGCGATGCGCAAATTGAGTTACCTCTCCAACTTCTAGTTTTATTGATAACCTATATCTTACCACATGCGATTTGGCTATTGATATTACAGAAGTCCTGTGGTAAAATAAAATTACATTAACTTACTCCATCTACCCTTGTAAAGTTAATCCGAATAGGGCTTTAGTCTCGACATTTTGCCCTCCTACATCTACATACAATAAAAAAGGTATAGGCTTAATGTCCGAATTTAATTTTTAGAAATTAACGTTACAGAATACAGATGCAAACATGTTGAAAAGCTTCTTCTCAATTTTTATTACAGGTGGCTACGTTCTGTGTGTGTGTGTGTGTGTGTGTGTGTGTGTGTGTCTGTTCGTGTGTATGTATGTGCGTGTGTCAATCATAAGCTGTTTCTTCAACTTATTAAAATATCTTACTTTACTGCTACTATCTGTTTCTGCTTCTTTATTATATTTATAGTGTGTGATTTATAAAATACATTACATCCATCATCACATATATTGTGTCTGGTCACTTTATATCTTATATCAGAATATTACATTACTGTTAACCTACAATGGATATTAAAATACGCCGAACCATGTGTCCTGTATCATAGCTACATGAATGACCTTTGCAGCAAAAAAACCCGCGTGAAAATCAGTTCAGTATTCAGTGAGATATGATTAATTTAATGCGCTGACAGCTCATTTCACCTGCCATTCTGATTACACTGAGCGGAGCGGATGACCGGTTTAAGATGGCGGCTCCAATTCTCGTCCGTGCCAATAGGCAGTAGCGGTCGATAGGGCGTCTACCTATATGATGTCTATGCTTGCAGAGCCATGTATTTCTCTGGGGAACGCAAAAGTTTTGAAAAAAAAAAAAAAAAATTCTCGCATCCTATTTTTTTTCCACCACCACGTCCCTTTAGGGGCTCCGTAATTAGCTACTCATAATATCATATAATAATCAAGCTTTCTGTTTAAGGAAAGACATGAGCCTGAACTTAATGGATGTCCTCGGTACACGAATCAATACTTAGGCTAATAAATATATTATATAACACTTAAAGCATAGCATACCCTTTCATTTACTTTCAACTGACATAATTTTGCTTACTCATGATGAACAAAGTTAAATATATAATATAACACTTAAAGCATAGCATACCCTTTCATTTACTTTCAACTGACATAATTTTGCTTACTCATGATGAACAAAGTTAAATATATAATATCCTTAAAGCATAGCATACCTTTCATTTACTTTCAACTGACATAATTTTGCTTACTCATGATGAACAAAGTTAAATATATAATATAACACTTAAAGCATAGCATACCCTTTCATTTACTTTCAACTGACATAATTTTGCTTAATCATGATGAACAAAGTTAGTAGCTACAAAGGCGCATATGAAATATTGGGCGTTGCTTAAAGAATTCTGCAGTCTGTTCATCGATATAAAAAATCTGATTTTAACCTTTCATTGTCGTTTCCTCACAGTAAAATACAATCGAGGTTTCTCGCTTCAGCGGTGCGGTAAGTGCATTTCAAAATGTAAGGCAAAAAACAATGTTGAATGCGGCCTGTGTTGTTGTAGACATAGATATCACATAGAGACTATAATGTCTATGGTTGTCGATATCAGCATTAGTGCAATGTTGCTTTGAAAACTTTGACTGGATTAACAAAATGTAATCACGTGGTTCAATCACAGAATGCGGCGCATTTCAGTTGCTCCAAAACTATTTTAACCTATAACGTAGCCTAACATATGTGGCCAAATTGTTTTGAAGAGTCTAAAAAGATGTGTCGATTTATTTTGCACGGAGTTGTCGACTGAAAAATAAAGTGCAAACTGTTTTGATTTCGTGTTGTTTACACAGCAAACGTAAGCATATTTCCCGTTTGGCATTTTTGGGAACCAAACAGGCCTAATAACGCTAGAAATGTTTATGGAAATGTTCCCTGTGGGGTTTTGGAACCAAAAACTAACAACTATAGAAAGTTGCAGCTAGAGTCTTTTTGCGACAACCAGAGAACCGGAACATTTTTTAGGATATTTTATAACCAAAAATTGTTATATTTTGTTAAAGTTCCACACAAGGAAGCAAATATACATGAAATAGTCTAATACAAATACAGTTACCATATTTGGTATAGATAATATCTAAAGGGTAGCCTATATTATTAATGTAGCCTAGCCCGTACATTGCTCCATCTCATAAAAATCACGATCACAGTAAAGTAAACACAATGCACAATTGTTTATAACTTAATAGATCACAGGAAAGGGGGAAAAAAGTTAAATTAAGTGGAATCAAGTAAATTTTTTCCCCTCATAGATGCCTTTTAGATTTAAAATATTACTTTATTGTTTGAAATAGAATAACCCACATACTGTCACAAACAGTTTGTTTCGAGGAATGAAATACATTGCTGGGAATTTTGGGATTGACTAGGTTCATACCCTTTTTTTTCCTTTTATGAACAGATGGCAAACGAAGCAAAGCCCTGCCCATGTGATATTGGGGATACGATTGAATATGGAGGTCTTGGAGAGGAAGTTCAAATCGAGCACATTAAAGCTTATGTGGTTAAGCCTCAAGCATCAAAAAAGGCCGTTATTGTAATTCAAGATATTTATGGATGGCAGCTTCCAAACACCAGATACATGGCTGACATGCTCTCAGCCAACGGATACATGTAATTGTTTAAACATGTTATAAATATTAAAATTGTTCAGATATTCTGGTTCTTACCTGATTATTTTGCATTTGCAGAGCCATATGTCCAGATTTCTTTGTTGGCAAAGAAGCATGGAACCCATCTCATGACATCTCATTGTCAACATTTCAGCAGTGGCTTGAGGACAAAAAACCTACAGACATCAAAAAGTAACATTTCAATTAACTAAATGCACTTATCTCATGCACCTGGCCATCCTTTCAAAGGAAAGACTGAACAATCGTCTTGTTTTTTTCAGGGAAGTGGATGTTGTATTGAGTTACCTGAAGGAGCAGTGTGGAGCAAAGCAAATAGGTGTTGTGGGTTTTTGTTGGGGTGGTGTTGCGACACATTACGTTGCTCTTCACTATCAAGAAATTAAAGCTGCCGTCTCAGTCTATGGTAATGTATTTGTTTTATCTATATGAACAGTTAAGGATACAAAGTATGTATCAATACTGTACGCTGTCTGGAATTCTAGCAACTGTATATACATTTATTTAACCCAGGTATCGTTAGAGAGCGGGAAGACCGGTTTGACCTTAAGAGTCCAACCCTCTTCATATTTGCAGAAAATGATGCAGTGATACCTCTTGATCAGGTAAGCTGAGGTCATTTTAAGATATGAAGACCACATTTCTTTTAAGACTTGAACTGGGTTCAAAAGTTTAGAGTCAGTAACATTTTTTAAAGAATCCTGAATTTTTCAAATTTAAGTATAATCTGATCCCAATTCTCTTTAACCCCTTAGCTGTCACCCCCTTTTTGAGAATGGGGGTTAAAATACACTATTCAAACTTAAATGGTTTTAATTCAAGAATGATTGGGAATATATACCAAAGTTTGTTCTGGTTTGTTCTAAGAAAACACTTCACAAAATGAAAGTATCAAAAAGTTATGGAAGTTTAAATTTACAGTAAATCAAGAATACTGTACTATATATTTTTTATTTTATATAAAATGTATATTTTACAAAATATTTTTTCTCTAAAATTACTATAAAATCAAAGCCATAAATCTAACCAAGTTATGTTCAAAATTTGAAGTTGATGTCGCATAAATTAAAGTTTTGTTTAGGCGTAGTACCAAAAATAGCCACCAGGTGCCATACATTCCATTGAATTTAGTTTTATACATTCTGCCATAATAAATTAATAAATTTCTGTCCAAATATCAATTCTGAACCTTGAGACTCAGACCTTTCTGACAATATGTGTTTTGTCAAGATTAGATAAGGTTTTGATCATAAATTATGAAATATAATGATGCCCAAAAGGGGAGGGGCCAGATTAATATTATCTTTGAGTAGTCAGTCTAATATGTACTTATTTGCATTTTATCTCTTAATGAGAAACAATAAATGGGGGTAAATGTGTTAAGTCACCGGATTAATAAATTAACTTATTTCAGGGCCATAAACTTTGGCCAAACAATCATTTAATGATGTAATTGTTCTCTAACTTTTAACCAAGGTGACCACGCTAGAGACAAGACTGAAGGAAAAGTGCACTGCTGACTTCCAAGTGAAAATCTTCCCCAATCAGACACATGGCTTTGTCCATCGCAAGAGAGAAGACATTAACCCAGATGATAAACCCTACATCGAAGAAGCCAGGAAAGATATGATCAACTGGTTGAAGAAGTACTTGTAAACTGCAACAGGTTAAAATAACAGGTGAAGGTTAAACATTTTCTAAATGACAAAGTCTAATGATAAAAAGCAGTAAATCTGATAACATTAACTTAAAATTATTTGAAAGCTTTTGCAGTTTGGCACTTTTTTTTCTACTCAAGATTCAAAAATCGAAATGTCAATGACAATAAACAAATCCGAAAACAAGTTTAATAGTCACTTCGGTACTACATTGAACTGCATCAAATGATAAATAACAGTACAGCTTCGACACATTCCTTTAGAAGTGCTTGGACCGTTCATTTTCAGCACAGCAGCAGCGCGTCGCTCAGTCTTCAGACTCGCCGGGGCCCCTGACATCATCTATCTTAAGAATCATCTTGACTACTTGAGTGGCCAGAGAAATCTGTTGTTTCTTTCCAATGAGGGTCTCGATTACATGCTGTTTCTTCATGTCTGTAAAGATTGAAGTCAAATTTGTATCAGTTTAAGACTGAACCAATTACATGTAATAAAAAAATAATTCATAATGCTCTTTTGAACTTTCTAATCAATGAATCCTGTGGAACTGTTTTCAATATTAATAAGAATTGTTCCTTGATCAGTATATTAGAATGATTGTTTTAAAACTGTTTTACATTATATTATTATTTCACAATATTACCATTTCTACTGTATTGAAATAATGACTTAAATTCAAACTCTTACATAAATCATTTCTAAATGCCTTTTACACTACATTTGCCTATTCAGTTGAGTATTATAAAGAATTATATTTAAGAAGTATATTAAATAAGTTCATACCATTTGTTGATAAATGGAGGCAGTCAATTCCAAGCGCAGAGTTGATTTCCTTGACTTGCCGAGCTCTGACCTCTGTCATCGTCTGAATAGGGTTCAATCCACTGTTCTCGGCGAGTGCCATAGGGATGACCTCAAGAGCGTCAGCGAACGCTCTCATAGCATACTGTTCCAGAGAGGGGCACTGGAATCCAAGCAGAGCTTTTTAGAAATATGCTTAACAAAAACCTCAGAATGTAGAGTACAGATGACGGCAAAAATACCTTATCAGCTGCCAGGTTGACCGCAAGAGCGCAGGCGATCTCTGAGGCACCTCCACCGTAGACGATGCGGTTATCCTTTACAAGGTTGCGGATGACGCACAGAGCATCATGAAGAGCTCTCTTGGCCTCTTCGATAATCTAAATGATTCAGATGAATAGGCGAGGAAGATTGCAAATTTGTAACCACGATACCAAAACTAATTTAATATCTTGAGGGGGCAAAATCCCAATTAAGCACTTAAAACTCTTTACCATTTTGTTCCCTCCACGGATGAAGATCGTGACTGCTCTGGAGTTCTTGCACTCCTCAATAACCAGCATTTTGTCTTTAGTGGTCCCAAAGCAAATTTCCTTCACCAACCCAGCAACGCCCAACTTCTCTGGGGTCAGCTCGCTGAATCGGGGTACAATACGTCCTCCAGTAGCAATGGCGATGAGCTGGAAATGTTTGTATAAAGTGTCATAGTTTGTTCATACTCTCAACAGACATTAGTTACCCATCAGTGATAAAGCAGAAGACAGTGTGAGATACCAGAGCGTTCAAAAGTCTGGGGTCAGGAAGTTTTTCTTTGAAAGGTTTATTTTAAATACCTAATACTGTACTTTAATTAACAAAGGTGACTCTAAAATACATTATAATGTTACAAAAGATTTGTTTTAAAGAAATGTTATTTTGAACTTTACTTAATGAATAAAAAGAAATCAAATGTCTACAAAAAAAGTCCCTGTGAACAGGAAGTTGTGATCGACTTTACTTTAGTAATGTGACATTTTCAGAGTGAAATTGAATATTGAATGAGAAAAGAGGGCGTGGCTCTCTTTTAGCTGGGAATTGATTAGATCTTAAAAAGTAGGCGTTCCATTCAGCTTACCGTCAATGGATCTGGTTCATCAGAGCCATTCCAGAAGGGAAGTACAATTTCATATTCTTTTAAAGACACATTGTTTTTTTTTTTGATTAACTTGCACAGATTGCATGAATCATTTACCACAAGACTAGTAATATGTGCTAACAAAGTAAATAGGGTCAATTTTGATTTCATGCTGACTTTAAGTAGCACAATTGTTTTACCATTGATTTGAAATGTTACCACAGAACCAAATCAGCATATTAGAATGATTTGAGGGATAATGCGACACTGAAGACTGGAGTAATGATGATGAAAATTCAGCTTTGCATCACATGAATAAATCACATTTTAAATGTGTTATTTTACATTGTTATATTTCACAATATTACAGTTTTTAATGTATTTTAAATGTAAAAACCTACAGACCCCAAACTTTTAAACAGTAGTGTATTGCAATGTAGTTTTTACAAACCTCAATCTCAGGTCCACCGACCCAGCGGACGGCAGGAAGCTCATTCTGCAGGAGTAAGTGATTGGCCTCGTCGTCAAATCCCCACTGGCAAATGGCAAGATTAGCCCCAGTCTCCTTGACCTTTTGAAGACGTGTTGGAAGAGGGAGATAAAGAAAACAATTCGATTGTATGATCAGTGATACATTTCTCATTAAAATGCAAAACATCCAGAATATTCAATTTGCAGCTCTAAATAACTAAACTGAACGAGGGCTGTCACGCAGATTGAGAAAACATCATTGCCATTGTTTGCAGTTATGCAACAAAAAAATCTTAAAAACAAAGAAACTGATAAAATGTCTTTAAGGCACTTTAATCTGTCAATGTAAAATAAAACTGTAATTAAATTTTATAGCTTTAGAAATACACTGAAATTCAAATTATAAATGTATATGAAATCATATACAATATTAAATATTCATATTAAAAACAAATATATTGGATCAAAACAATCTCTTAAGTACGCAAACAGAACAAGCAATATACAGACCTGTCGAATCATCTCTGCAAACTTCTCCTTCTCATACTTCTGCAGAGCTTTATAGTCCTCCACTGAGGTCACGTCAAGCTTATGCTTGGTTTTGGGCTTGGGTGGCTCAAACGGGCAGGTGAGGATGGCGATTTTTGTGTCTTTCAGTACCTGGAAAAATATATAATATATTTATTAAATGATGACCGTATGCATATACATGTGCAACCAGGAATGATTAATAATAGTGAACACAAACCTTGGGCATCTGAGGGTGACTGAACTCTTTGTCCACAATGACACCTTTGATGAGCTGAGTGTCCTCTAGTTTACCACCGACCTTTCCTTCCACTTTGATGAGCTCAAAGTCGACATCCTTCCTCTCCATGTCTGCAACTGTCAGGATGGCATTGACGGCAATCTCTGCCATCTGTCTGTGGCACCGGTTGATCCTACGACCCCCCCAAAAAAGTGAATAAATTGATGATAATCCCTTAAAATAATCTCAGTAATAAACTGTTAATTTCAAACAATTACTAACAGACACACTCACACTTTGGACCCTAGCGTGGTCATGGCTGTCTGAATAAGAGGCTCTGTGTTGTTGGGATCCACTGGGAAACTATCCCCAATTTTATCAAGCTCCTCAATGGCAATCTTTGCAGCCTGGTCATAACCATCGGCGATCCTGATGGGGTGAATGCCTTTGTCTAACAGCTGCTCAGCCTGTTCCAGAAGAGCTCCTGCCAAGACTACAGGGGCCAACACACATTAGTTCGGTGGGACTTTCTGTTATTTATTTCTGTGATGGCAAAGCTTACACTTCCAGAAGCCAAGGCAGTGTCACATGATCATTCTAATATGCTGATTTGCTGCAGAGGAAACATTTCTTTTCAACTGAAAACCAAGTAATATTTTTGTGGAAAAAGAAATGTTTTTTTTTTTTCAAGATTTCTTTTGATGAATATAAAGTTTCAAAGAACAGCATTTATTTGAAATGGAAACATTTTGTCTAGAGATGTTCCGATACCTCTTTCCCTTCTCTATCAGCCGGACTGGACTATCAGCCGATACCGAGAACTGATCCGATACCTAGGTGTGTATCTATACAATTCATCCTAGCACTGTATGAATTGATATAATTATTTTATGGTGTGCTTTAGACTTATCCCTAAATTAAACATGAGCATGAGTGTTTTATCTGCCATACATTTCACAGCAATATATTATTTACTTTTCTTAAGTGAAAAACAACTTAAAATGCAGCCACACATCTACTGAAAAAGGCATTTTAAATTTACAATACAACTGTATAAAAAAGTGCAACAAATAAATCAAGGAACCTAAAAAATTATATATGTATAATATATGAAAATAAACTCTTTATAACTTAAAGTCCAGAAACAATTTTATTAAACACACGGCATTTTCAGTTTTGACTGGGGCTGGTCATCCAGAACAATAAACTTGATAATTTTGTCGGTTATATTTATCGCTTGTTGGCTGTCTTTTGTTACTCCGATTTGCAGTGTTGAGCAAAGCTAGCGTGCATAACTAGTTATTGTTTGCGAAAAGGGTATCGGATCAGTACATGGGTAGAAGTACCTCGCTCTTGCAATGACATCTCTTCTCTTTATTGATGCGTTTACTCATATGGCCTCACTGGAATAGCAAACCCCAACCATCCAATTAAATCCTGATGGACAAAATCCCACCCAACGTGTTTTTTTCCCCCCCCGAGAAGCCGTTTCACTCGGATATACGTCACAAATAGGGAAGAAAAGAGTAGGGGTGTGCAGCAGAGCCAATTTCTGTCATTTGACATTTTAGATGAACTGATGTAATTTTCGATCCTCAATGTACAATTTAATGGTACATTGATGGATTATTAAATAAACCAAAATATGTAATATACAAACATGCAGTGGGAAATGTGTGAAAATGTTTTGATCAATGACAAGCATTACAAAGCCAAATTCTGCAACCCATGTGCAGACAGCTCAGCTGGTTATGTTTAGTCTAAAAAAAATGCAAACTCACCAACAACACCAGTGGTTCCATCTCCAATTTCATCATCTTGAGATTTGGAGAGTTCAACCATGAGCTTGGCAATCTGATGGTCGACATCCATCATGCTGAGAATCGTTGCACCATCATTTGTCACAGTCACCTCACCATCCCGATCCACCATCATTTTGTCAAGCCCTGTAAACATTATTAATCCACATTAAGCAAACAGCAAGGAATGAGACAAAGACTAATTTACATGCAAAACCGAGGACTTACCATTTGGCCCCAGTGATGTTTTCAGGGTGCCTGCAACTGCTTTTGCTGCCATGATGTGAGACTGAAATGGACGAATAATATTAGAATAAAATATATGCACATTACAGATTCATTCTGATCCTGCATGATCTCATACTGTAACGTTACTGACAGGCAGTAAGTAAGGTGCGTCACTAACAACAATAATCTTGATAGGATTCTTAAAAAGTAATAAGCACAATAAGCAGTTTGCATAAAAGTAAAGTCAGGGACGATTGCAGCTTTCTCGTGGTTAAAAACGATATTTATTAATGTCTCCATGTTTGCGCATCATGACTCAACGCAGTTAAGAGGAAGCACATGGACCATCCGCTGCTAGACATGAGGCACATTATTGATCGCATTAAACATAGTATACGCAAAAAGGAAACAATTCTCTCCGTGTAAGACTACAAAAGCACAGTGCAAACAATAATTTTACAACATGAAACAGTTTGTAGTTTTCTGGATTATAGATATGATTAAATGAACCGTCAAAAAGCTCAAAGAGCCAGCTAGCCCGTTAGCTTTTGTACCTTCAGGGCTTCCAGGCCAGTCAAGCGAGATTTCTTGTCCTGGTCCTTTATGATGAGGAAAGGCCTTCCATATTCATCAAACGCAAGGGTCCCCATTGCGGACATTTTTAACCTCCACCCTAGAGGAATGCACAGCCTTTTAAAATGGTTTTATATAAGGAAGTTTTATCCTCTAGCCATGCACCTCGACGCGCTGATCTGCCGGCTAGTTCTGGAAGAATCTTGGGGCGGGACGGACCAAACCAAGTGTCATAGCATCACCGGCTTTTTTTGTGTAAATTTTGTAAGCGTCATCGAGTCAGTAATTATATGATTGAAAACACTGAAGAAAATAATTTATTAAAGAAAAAGAAAGAAACATATCTACCAAATTTTACAATTTAAGCATTTTAATAATGGTTCACCCTACTATCGCGATAACTCCGACAAATAACGAGAGTTCAACCACAGATTTATATTCCATACAGATTGACTAGACATATTGAGGTTTATTATTGACTAGTATATCTTTTATTTACAAATAGTTTTTCTGCAAAGCCATGTGCTAGTCCACAGTAACGCAGTATCCGGTTACCTGCTCCACCAGTTCATACTTATAAAAGCATGCTACTGAGGAATTCAGTACGCTTCTCAGTTGAAGACGCGGTTGGAGTTGTCATTTGTAAATTCAAGGTAAATTCTTTCTATTGAATCCCACCGCTCACATTTGACATTTTTAACTGACACCTGTTTCGACGATAGGATGGTCTAAAGTTGTTGATGTATTTAACACAGCACTGTCAACTGTAATAAAGAAATAGCAGACTGTTTTTTTTTTTTTTTTTTTTACAATATGGCTTATGTAACAAGATCGCAGCTGATTCCAGTTTACACATGTGAACCTATATAGAAAGGAAAAGACACCCTATTGAATTCCATGGTTTTACATATCAGATGTTTAAATTAGGTAAATACAACCTCAGATGAACAACAACAACAACAACAACACATGCCATTACCGTATCATTATTTATTTAACTAAAACTAGGCCCAAATGGAGACGCCATGTGTTCATTGATCATCAGCAGCAAGTGTGATCAAAAGTTTGACCAGAAGTTTTGGAACAAGTTTGCATGTCTGAAGCATTCAGGTGTGTATATTAACATTAACACAATGCCAAGGATCAGCAATGATCTAGACAAGCAATTATTGCCATCAATCTGGGATGTGTTTTACATCCATTTCCAAAGAAGGTCCTTTGGACAGATGTGGAGTGGAGATGTCTGGCTATAATGCAGAGTGCCACGTTTGGCACAAACCAAACACAGCATTTCAGCACAAACACCTCATACCAACAGTCAAGCACTGTGGTGGAGAGGTGAAGATTTGGGCTTGTTTTGCTGTAAAATATTCAAGGTGTTGCACTGGCCCAATGAATTTCTGTGCCAAGAACTTCAGTGAGCTGTGCATAAACGAATGTCTGAAACCTCAATTAACTGAAGCAACGTTGTAAGGAAGAGCGGGTCAAAATTCCTTCGAGTCCAGAATGATGTGAGAGACTGACAACGTCAAGCAGAAAATGATTGATTACTTCAAGTTATTGCTGCTAAAAGTGTCTCTACAAGCAACTGAATCATTGGGTCTACTGAGCTTGTCACACATTGCTTCTCCATTTTGGCTTATTTTTTGTTAAATAAATAATGACACACTTTGTAATACGTAATGTGTTGTTTTTTTTGAGGTTGTATTTACTTCATTTTAAGACCTGCTAACACTAGATTTTTTTTTGTCCTGATACTAAAACCATAGAATTGGATTATATACAGTCTTTTGATACGGTACCCCAAAAGGTTTGTTATATCTACCATTAGGTATTTTTATGCACACTTAAAAGGTACAAAGGTGAGCTTTTTGAAAGAGTACTGCTCCAGTGACCGCTTTTGTACCTTTTTTCTCGAAGAGAGTTTTCACAACATACAGAAATGATTTTCAAATTTTTGTCCAGCTATGATAATATGCTGTGTGAAGTTGCTGCTCACTTCTTGATACTGTATGGATCTCAGCGTGGTCAGGCTCAGTCAATAGCCGAAGAGATTTGCGAACAAGCAGCTGAGTATGGATTAACAGCTGACATCAGCTGTCTGAGCAACCAGGACAAGGTATGTTTCTTACCACTACTTTCATTGATATCAAATCTGGGACAGTCACATATCAGAACTGACTGTGATGCATCTTGTGCGTTCCCATGCATCCCCAGTACAAAGTGGAGAGTGAAATCCGCCCAGTTGTTTTTGTGGTTTCCACAACCGGGGATGGTGATCCTCCAGACACTGCTCAGAAGTTTGTGAGAAAGATCAAGAATAAATCTCTGCCGCACGACCACCTCTCCCATCTGCGTTATGCACTGTTAGGTAAGATGGTCTTTCTGTCATGCAAGTGTGAGCTCCACCCATCAGCACTTTTTTTTAATGCTGTTATATATGCAGCTCTCGGAGACACAAACTATGCAAATTTCTGCAACGGAGGCAAGACCATTGACAGCCTTCTTCAGCGACTTGGTGCTAAACATTTCTATGCCACTGGGCATGCAGATGACGGCACTGGGTAAGCATGTATGAATGTTAAATAACAATATAAAAAAGCAGATTTTCTGATATATTGCCGTGTCAAACTCAGGGACTCTTCTCTTTCCAGACTTGAAGTAGTGGTGGATCCTTGGATTGAGGGACTCTGGGACGCTCTGAAAAAAAAATTATCCGGCATGTCTGCTTCAGATCAAACTGGCGATACCCGTAGTGACTGTACCCAGGACAATAATCATAAAAATGCATCTGGCCAGGAAAAAAACAAGTCAGATGTAGAAGTTGATCTTCATCTTTTGAAGCTGGGTGAAGTACACTCACAAAATGAGACAAATGTTACATCAGACAGCACTGATGCAGAGACTCACTCTTCTACGTTGGTTGCATCTTTGAAGCAATCTGTACCACCATTGTCAGAGTCCGTTCTTAAAGTTCCTGCTCTTCCCCCTTCATATCTAGAGGTTGTTTTGGAGCAGGCGTCCACCGAAGGGGTATGGACTTCATGAAAAAAAAAAATCAACATTTAGTATAAAGAATAGAGATTAATGTTAAATAGCATGGCTCTTTTTTCATGAAACACAAGAAAAACAAAATTCAGAGTTTCTGTTGCCATTTGTGTAAAATCATTGCAACAGTTTATGTAAGCATGGATTTAGGAACATATGCATTTTATGAATAATCCACTAGGGTGCCCTTTGAATAATTGTGTTGGACAATTGGGGGGCATTTGAGTCAAAAAGTTTGAAAACCACTGTCTGGTATAGATTGTATGAGATAAAATATAATTTCTTTAAAGGAAAGACATTTTCTTAATTTTGATCCCTTTAAATGTCTATTATTGTGCTAATAAAAATCCTCCGTTCATAGGAGACAGTCCCATCTGGTAAAGACGGTTATCGTGAAATGTCCATTTCAAAAGCAGTTCAATTAACTCAAGATGATGCAGTGAAATCTTCCATCTTTCTGGAGCTTGATATTTCTGTAAGTCCTTATTTATTTATGTTTATTTCAGTAGGGATGCACCATTATTAAAATTCTGTGTGATTCAAATGAGCTAATAATTATTTTAATAATAAACAATTGATTTGTATTTATATATAATTGTTTATAATTATGACCGATAACAAAGACATTTATAGAATACATTTTATACTGACAACTGAATAAATAATAAAACAATTCTAAAAACTAAAATCAACAATTTTAAATGCTACAAGTGAATTTAGGCATCACTTCATTATTATTAATAATGTTTAGAATTTGTTTAATAATTTTTGGAATTTGTTGAAGATTACATATAACAGTGTTATTATTACTTAATTTATTTATTTTTCTTAAAGATTACTTTTCATTGAGCGTTAGATGATGACAAAAGTAATCTAACATTGTGTCTATCTATCTATCTATCTATCTATCTATCTATCTATCTATCTATCTATCTATATATATATATATACTGTATATACTCACCTAAAGGATTATTAGGAACACCACCCGAACACTGTGTTTGACCCCCTTTCGCTTTCAGAACTGCCTTAATTCTACGTGGCATTGATTTAACAAGGTGCTGAAAGCATTCTTTAGAAATGTTGGCCCATATTGATAGGATAGCATCTTGCAGTTGATGGAGATTTGTGGGATGCACATCCAGGGCACGAAGTTCCCATTCCACCACATCCCAAAGATGCTCTATTGGGTTGAGATCTGGCGACTGTGGGGGCCATTTTAGTACAGTCAACTCATTGTCATGTTCAAGAAACCAATTTGAAATGATTCAAGCTTTGTGACATGGTGAATTATCCTGCTGGAAGTAGCCATCAGAGGATGTGTACATGGTGGCCATAAAGGGATGGACATGGTCAGAAACAATGCTCAGGTTGGCCGTGGCATTTAAACGATGCTCAATTGGCACTAAGGGGCCTAAAGTGTGTCAAGAAAACATCCCCCACAGCATTACACCACCACCACTAGCCTGCACAGTGGTAACAAGGCATGATGGATCCATGTTCTCATTCTGTTTACGCCAAATTCTGACTCTACTATCTGAACGTCTCAACAGAAATCGAGACTCATCAGACCAGGCAACATTTTTCCAGTCTTCAATTTTCAGTCCAATTTTGGTGAGCTCTTGCCAATTGTAACCTTTTTCCTATTTGTAGTGGAGATGAGTGGTACCCGGTGGGGTCTTCTGCTGTTGTAGCCCATCCGCCTCAAGGTTGTGTGTGTTGTGGCTTCACAACTGCTTTGCTGCATACCTCGGTTGTAACGAGTGGTTATTTCAGTCAAAGTTGCTCTTCTGTCAGCTTGAATCAGTCGGCCGATTCTCCTCTGACCTCTAGCATCTACAAGACATTTTCGCCCACAGGTCTGCCGCATACTGGATGTTTTTCCCTTTTCGCATCATTTTTTGTAAACCCTAGAAATGATTGTGTGTGAAAATGGCCAGTAACTGAGCAGATTGTGAGATACTCAGACCGGCCTGTCTAGCCCGTTCAGGAGATTGTCTTGACCAGGCCCACACCCCTAAATGCATTGAAGGAACTGCCACGTGATTGGTTGATCAGATAATTGCATTAATGAAAAATTGAACAGGTGTTCCTAATAATCCTGTAGGTGAATGTGTGTGTGATATATATATATATATATATATATATAATATATATATAAAAATGCACACACGCAATCACACTCAAGACATCCAATTTTACATTTAGATTACTATATACCCCTATAACGGTAGTAATGCTTTTTTAAAAAGTTAAGTTTAGAACATAGTTTTGGATCAAATAGTTATTTTTACGTTTTTCCTGTTTCGGTCTCTGTGTAAGTAAATGTTGTCTCTCCAGGAGCAGGATGTTGCTTATCAGCCTGGAGACTCCTTTGATATTCTCTGTCCAAACAGAGCTAGTGAAGTTGACGAGTTGCTGCTCAGACTGGATCTGCAAATGCAAAGGAATTGTGCTGTTCAAGTCAGCTTGCTGAAAAACAGCAGTAAGAAAGGTATTGCAGCCATTGTTGACACAATCAGTGATACCGTGAACATTTTCCTCAAAGTGTGCAAGAGATAAAATAATGTATTCTGCCCACAAGTCAGAGAACTAGATTAAGATTGAACAACTTGAAATGTTGAATAAATACATAGCCAGTTTTCCTTTTCTTTTGCAGCAGCAAAGGTTCCACTTCACATCCCACAGAACAGCTCTTTGCAGTTTATTCTCACCTGGGCTTTGGAGATAAGGAGCATTCCAAAAAAAGTAATTTTGTGTTATTAACCTTATTTAATGTTATAGTTTTTGTGCTGTTTAAGTTCTGAACCTTTGATGTAGCACTAGATCGCGCTTTATACGCAACAGTGCTTTTGATGTATCGGTGAGGATGATTTGTTTGGCTTTCATGGGAGTGTAGTCTGAAGTTCCTGGACAGACCCTGTTATGCTGCTCTCTTGTGCTTTCAGGCGTTTGTGCGAGCGTTGGCGGACTTCACTCAGAGCAGTTCAGAAAAAAGAAGGCTTCTGGAACTGTGTAGCAAAGAAGGCTCAGCAGACTACAACAGTTTTATCAGGGACACCAACGTATGTCTGCTGGATCTCCTTCAGGCATTCCCATCCTGCCTACCTCCGCTCAGCCTCGTGTTCGGTCAGTAAACACATGTGATCTGCTTTGAATTTACTGTTTTCTGCATTTCATACATTCCATATCAGCATATGCAGTTTGCATGGTAAATGTGCTTGACGTTTGGAAGTGTTTTCAGTGTTGGTACCACCAGGTGGCAGTAAAACAACATCGGATTAGAGGTCCAGCTTTGCTTTTTTGCACTCCTTTTAAAGGCAAAATACTGTTCTTTAACTGCAAGCATAGCGTCTGAAATTTTTTTTAAACTTGCAATAGCTGTATCGAGAGTCTAACCAAAGCATATTAATAAATTCAGCAAATCTAAACTAAAAATGAAGGCTGTCAATTAAGATAACTAATCATCTAATTAATTATGTTAAAGGCCTTCAGAGCCATTTTTAGGGGGAAAAAATTATAATGTGTTATTACTGGGATCAGCAATTTGAGTGGATGATGCTAGTTGCGAACAATGTGCTTGTTTATATAAAGACAGAAGATTGCTCGTTAAAAACACTCTTTTGATTCTCTCAAACCAAATCAAAAGTTTGGGGTTTTTAGAAGTTTTTTAGAATTAGTTTTTCGTAAAGTCTCTTATGCTCACCAAGGCTGTTTCTTTGATAAGAATGCTGTAAAAATAGTACTATTGCCAAATACTATTACAAATTCAAATAACTCTTTTCTATTTTAATATTTTAAAATGCAATTTATCCCTTTGACGGCCATTCCAGCTGTTACTCCAGTCTTTAGTGTCACATGATCCTTCAGCAATGATTCTAATATGCTGATTTGCTGCTCAAGAAACATTTCTTATCAGTTGTGCTGCTTAATATTTTTCAGGATTCTTAACAGCATGTATTTGTTATATATAAATCACAACATTATTAGTGTATTTGCTGTTACATTTGGTCGGTTTGTTAAAAAATAAAAAGTCTGTCCGTCTGGTAGTGTAAGTTTTGCACACTGTATAAGGCCATGTTTACACAAAGCCGGGTATTTATACGCCGTCGAGCGCCAGCATAACTATGCCAAACCTATGGACGGCAGTGTAGGGAGAAGGATAAAGCCATGCAAGCCAATCAGAATCCTCAGAATCGACAAGAGAGGAACTAAAACGCCGTTTCCCCGAGTTCACACGACAACACATAACCGGCGTTTTCAGACATCTCCGCTTTGGCCAGAGTTTTTAGATATCATCATTTTCTGTGATAAAAACAGGGTTTTCGGGTAAACGAGAGGCCAATCCGCAGGGAAATATCTGCGTTTTCCCTTCGTGTAAACGGGGCATAAGAAAGAACTGTGCCATGTAATTGAATTTGACAATACAAAGATGATATTTTGTAATAATAAACCTTAAATATTCTAAAAATATTTGGTGGATCTTTTTTGTACAATAAGCCTCTGCTGTGAAATGCAATAAAATGATCCATCATTGTGAGAAATGTGCAGTCACCTTGATTTTGAGAAACAGCTGGTATAGCTAAAATTATTATTGCATGCATAGCATACTATAGATATGGCGAACTGCAAGGTAATCATAATGCAGTGACCCTCACTGATTTATGCGGATGTGGCCAGTGGATTGTTGCATTGGATGGGTGTACATGTAAAGTTTTAATCTACATTAAAAATTACTGTAACTTGGGCAAATTAAGGATTAACATAGTCATTCCCCATGGCACAAATCGACAGAGATGCTGGTTCAGCAGCGTCTGACAGTACATTCATTTTATTTCTAAAATCACTCTGCACTGGTGTGTTCTTGATAGTAAGATCATTGTCATCAGTCAAACTGTTTCTCTCCTGACTTTCAGGCCTTTTATGACATTTAAGAGTTTTTCACCAAAACACCATGTGCCTTTTTGATGTATTTGTTTGGGCTGATGAGAGGCAGTAATTGCAACAGCTGCTGACTGTATTGAATGTTTGAGTGTAATTAATTGATAATATTGAGGACCTTCGGCATCCACATATGGTGTGCTTGAAATGAACATTTTCAAATTGATTCATCATTTCAGCGAATTGGAGAAAATTGTACGTCAGTTCAGTTGTTGACTGATGAAGGGGAATTTTAAACTTTATTTGAGCAGAGAAACCACGTCTTTAGTGTTCTGCAGAACACAAAATAAGATATTTTAAAGAATATGGGTAACCAAACAGTGGATGGAACCCCATTGACTTCCATAGGATGGAAATAACAATGGAAGACAATCATATTCTTCAAAATATATTCTTTTGTGTTCAGCAGAAGAAAGAAATGTATACAGGTTTGGAACAGCTTGAGGGTGAGTAAATTATGACAGAATATTTGGGAAATGTATCTCTTTAACAAGGGACATTTTGTTAAGTGTAAAAAAGCCTTTTGCAATAATTGTAACTAGTGGCACTGAACTTAATATTATTGGGTGAAACCAACTTCAAAAATAGTAATTTAAAAACAAAAGCACTTGTTTTATTATACATTTTGACCACTGTAATATTTTTGTTAGCGATTACAGTATGTTCTTCCTGCAACTGGTATCACCGCAAAATTTGAAAACGGAAAGGACCAGAAACTTCTCTGTATTGTAGAAACAATTTCCTATGTAGACTATGAGAAGTTACTTTAAATACCCTCACAGCCTCTGCATCAAGAATAGGAAAACCCTCTTTATTAATGTGTCAATAACCAAGGGCGGGATTTCTTCTTTGGTTTGGGACTTTAAGGCACAACTAGGAAACTCTAATACAAGAGTTTTGACTGTAATATGCTTCCAGAGTCATAAGTGAATGTGTAATTCAGCTATACTTTTTCTGTCTATATCATCATCATTTGCATTTAAATCCGATTCAATTAAACCTGTATAATTTCATATGCATGCCCCTTTTTGTCAATCATTGAATGGTAAATTGTGCCTGTTCACATTTCCCCCCTGTTTTCTCTATGGACCACTGGACAGTTTTAGACAAAAATGTGCAGAACCTGTGAACGGAAATTTCAGTTCATCCATATCTGTAATGGTGGTCAATGATGTTGGCTATGCTGATATGACAGGGGTGCTGATTATAACTTATTCTATTTTAATATATTTTTTAAATGCAAGTTATTGCTGTGATGGTAAAACTGAATTTAGCAGACTAAATTAAACACCGTGTAGTGAATTTAGCTATTCTGAGAAACTGTCTCTCTATATATCAACTCAAAAGGATTGGGTAACAGAGAGGGGATGCCCTAAAAGAGAAACTCAAGACACAGTTGAATAACCTCAAGGTCACAATGCCATCTCCATCTTTGATCTCTCCTCTGCTTTATTACAGAGCATTTGCCAAAGCTTCAACCCAGAGCCTATTCTGCTGCCAGGTAAGAGACCTGAAACACCTGCGTTTTATATTTGGATGCACAAATTAAAGCAGAGACATATCCAGGTTTTAGGTCATTATTTCTGTCTCTATCCTCCTTTGATGTTGTGCGGTTTATTATAGACTGACATGAATTGAGTGAGGCACTTACTCTTGCTTGACGATACTTTATTTGTTGTGATCAAAGTCAAATATTGGATGCAAAGGACATTCCTTTCAGAACCGCCTAACACTTTCATTTGTTTTCTGCCCATCTCCTTTGGCTTGTAAGTGGTCGGGCATCTACACAGTACGCTGATGCTGGTAGAATACACAGAAACATTAGGGCTATGAAATATTAAAGGCCGGTCAGCAGGGGTCCCCAGGGCCCGATACAGGCAGGCCATTAAGAGAGAGATAATGAGGTCCACTGACTTGCTCATGTTCAGGGTTGTTTCTAGATTGTTAGCACTTAGTCTCTTATTTTCTGTCTCGTTCCTCAGCTCCAGCCTTCAGCACCCTGAGAAAGTTCATTTCGTGTTCAATGTTGTGGAGTTCCCTGCATGTCCCGAGCATCCAGCGAGGACTGGGTTGTGCACGGGCTGGCTGGTTGATCACGTCTCCTCAATCTTGCAACCCCTTGGGACGGTACCTGCTTCAGAGTGCCTAGCCACATCAGCCCTGCCGAAGGTTAGCACTGTAGACATTGCACATTAGCAAGCCTGTTCACCTCCAAATTAGCTTTTCACAATCCCTGGGAGGATTTGGCTGAATTGGGTTGTTTGAGGCAAAAGCTGGGCAGAAATAAGCTCTGGAGAAAGTCTACTAATCTTTGCAGCTGAACACATACAACAACATCATCATAAGAGCTTTTGGTTTAGATGCTATCTACGAAATTTATGGAATTAGGTTTAAGGTTACATAGATGTGTGGAGGATTATCCCATCCCCGCTTAGAATTGATTGGATCTAAATGTCACGTCCAGGTACATGTCAGACCTCGTCCAAGCAGCACCTTTCACTTACCATCCGACCCCTCTGTTCCTGTAGTGATGGTGGGCCCTGGGACAGGTGTGGCCCCCTTCATTGGATTTCTTCAACAAAGGTACATTTTGATGGTCAATCACAAAGCTTTTTTCCTGACATATTTTAGTTGTCATGAAAATTTTAGTAATAGCAGTGTTGTGCAGTGTGAAATGCTATGCAACATTTTTGTGTGAATTCCAAAATTCTGCTGGTATCAGTAAAGTGGTAATCATGTTCATGTTAAAGTCTTTGTTAAAGTTGAAAACGCACTAAATGCAAATGATTTCAATCTTAAAATAGGCAGAAAAATTTACGTTACAACTGTTGGTGAGCATCCCGCAGCTGCTGAGGTGTTTAGACGGATATGTAAATATGTGCTTCCAAATGACAGCTGTGAGAAAACAGCAGTTAAGAAAGCATTTGATCATAGCGATGTCTGCAATTCGGCACTCCTGCGAAGTAGGCATGCTCAGGATTTTTACAGCCGATACAGACTACTGATTTCTTATTATCATGATCGGCCAATCCCAATCATTCAAGCGTTACATAAGTAATATTTTTATTTTTTTAGATGAAGTAATACCACAGAATGTTGTCTTGGTTACAGGAATGTTGTAATTGTTTTAATTGAGAATTAAATAAGCACAACATATTGATTTTTCTATTAACATTTTAATAGGCCTTTTAAAAACAGAGCTCCTGCAAAACGCTGTCCATATTAGGATAATTTAGCTTATTAAATGAGTAGTTCACTTTAAAAAAAACTTTTGCTGATAATTTACTCACCCCCATGTCATTCAAGATGTCCATGTCTTTCTTTCTTCAGTCGAAAAGAAATTAAGGTTTTTTTCTTCATGTAATGCACTTTACTGGTAACCAAACGGTTCAAGGTCCAAAAGACAGTTTCAGTACAAACTACAAACTGTTCAAAGGGCTTCAAACGATTCCAGACGATGTATAAGGGTCTTAATCAAACAAAACGATCACTCGTTTAAAAAAAAAAAAAAAAGGCTTAAGTTTTATAAGCTCAAATGGTCACCTTGCTCTGTTCTGTGGTGCGCGTCTGTGACTCTCCTGTTCAAACTTGTTTATCAAAATGGACGAATCTTTTTTCGTGTCATTTGGTTCATTCAATGAAAGAAATTAATAAATTGACACTAAAAAAGATTTGTTCATTTTGTTAAATGAATGACGATAAACTGTTTGGCTACCAGTAAAGGACGTTATATGGAGAAAAATCCTGGAATGTTTTCATCAAAAACCTTGATTTCTTTTCGACTGAAGAAAGAATGACATGGATATCTTGGATGACATGGGGGTGAGTAAATTATCAGCAAAAGTTTTTTTTGTGAAGTGAACTACTCTTTTAAAGAGCCTACAAGACTTGCTTGTTTTATGTCCTAAAACTGAACATACCCTGTAATTGCAGGCTTAAAAAACGCTACTTCACTAGCCTCAATCGACGCTGAAGCTGATGTTTCACTTTAGAGATCAGCGGCATTGATTTTAATGCATTGAACCCTTAAATGTGAAAGATACTATGACAAAGATTTATTTAAGATACTTGGCAATCTGATTTTTTCACTAATATATGACCTGACCTGAAGAAGGACAGACGCGTTTAATCATACGCTCAGTTTCCCTGTCACTGTCTGCTCCGTGTGTGTGTGTCAGACGCCTTAGACACCGAGAGTAGACTTGGTTTTGGCCTGATTTTGTTCAAAATTATGTCACGCCAGTTCGCTCTTCGATTTTGCTTCAACTTTAACTATATCATATATATTTTTAACTTTCTATTCATAAAGGTAAAATATTAAGCAGCACAACTGTTTTTTCTTGAGCACCAAATAGGTATATTAGAATGATTTCTGAAGGATCAGGTGAGACTGAAGTAATGATTCTGAAAATTATATAATTTTATAGTGTATTAAAATAGTGAACACACTGAGTTTATTACATCAGGTTTTAGCGTAATAAATTACATTGTACACTTTGTAAATATACAAACATGGCTGTCAGCACAAAAATTATAGTCTTTATTTGAGGTAGCTCTCCGTGCTTCACAGAGCAGTAAGTGTTAAAAAATAACCTTTTTATTACACATTTTCAAAAAAATAAACCAGGTTTTAAAAGAGGAAGGAAGTTTATTGATTCTCGTGTGTAAAAGTAGCATAAAACACCCCTAGGGTGATTAGGATAAATCTAAAAGGATTGAAGGAGGAAGAGAAAGTGTAAATGTGCTATTGACCTGCTCCCCATCACATTATCTGTGATGCCTAATAGCGTTTCTGAAGACCCTGGTATTACAATGAAGAAGGACATAAATTTAGGATCTGGCTGTAAAGGTGTCTTGTGGAGGCCTGTCATCTCAGTGTGTGTGATTTATACTCGGTGCCAAGGGCCCATGAAGAGTGACAACAGGATTACATATGAATGAAGCCTTTTGCCCTAGTGGAGGGCCGGTCGGTGATGTGATGCCTGCTCTGTTTGTACACGAATAGTTTTTTAGTGACACAAGGGTCACAGGTAATCACAGGGGCTAGTGTCCGAGCCGAACGTGGTTGATGAATGTTTCAGATACGTCTGGGGGCCGATGTGAGTGGGATGAGACATTAATGATGAATGACAAAAGTTGTCCTCAAACACCACATCACCTTCCAAAACATCAAGGTTGAGGCAGTCATGCATGTTTGGTTTGGCCCCAAGCCATAGATCAATGACAGCGAGCTGTCTATTTAATATTTAAGTTTCTTTTAATAATATGCACATTTAGTGGATAACAAATTATTATTATTAATTGTAGTAGTATTTTCTCTCTTCTCATCATACACAATATAATTAGTAGTAGTATTTTCGGTATTGTTTGAATACAAATAGCATTATTATTACTGGACTACAGGACAAAAGTGAAGCAAACTGCACAATACCATTTAAACTAATACAGCCAATTTAAATCTAATTATGATTTTGTTATACATTGATTGTAATCAAGAATCTGTATCACAATGCATATCATCTTGTAAAGTAGTTTCCTTATAGTGGCTAAAATTCCCTACATATTAGGAAAGATTATTTCCTCCACTCAAGATTTCACATTCAGTGTTTGTCATACTCAAACCAAAATCACAGTTTCTCTGAACCGTCTGTTAACAGTAAGAAAAAGTTTAGTTCTATCACAGTTATTATTACGTGAAATGCCTGCTCAGTTATAAGACAAATGACAGCAATGTACAGATTTCTATTCTGAAATACAAAAACATTTTCTTGGACGCAAGCATCTGTAAGAGGTGTGCCGTTGAACTGTTTCAATGTGGTTCTTAACTTGGGATTCTTCTAAATACAACTACACTTGATGCCAGCCTTCAATTAAAGATAATGATCACCATTCTGTCAACAGGACATTGTTTGTGTCACAAAGCCCGGCGTTTCCTCTTTAGGAGCAAACAGCATGGGATGCTTCGATTTTCCTCATCTGTAAATCAATGGCAGCAGGCAGACAGCCGGAAATGTATTGTGCTGTGGAGAAAGTGGGAGGCTCAGGCTGGGCAAAAATCTCACACAAGGACAAAGCCAATTCATCTGTTTGCAGGCTGCCAGTGAGCTTTAGGCAGAAAGGATTTGACGTCTTCAAAACAAAAGCAAAAACTATTCTCTAATTTTGCGCAGCCGCCATTCGGTGTGAAAAACCCCCGGAAGTACAGATAAACAACAATGCCTTGGACTACAAACCTAAAGTTGGTGCCGTGATTTACACTATTGGATATTAATGTATTTAGTTGGTTCCTGCTTCTTTTTATAACGTTCCGACTAATGTATAAAAATAATTTTATTTATAAATACATTTTTTTCTGTATGTAGTCTAAAGTATGAAATAAATGTACAGTTTTAGAAAAACATTTCTACATTAAACAATACGCCATCGCATTTACGACTTCAAAATGACGGCGGCGTGAAATCAGCGTGTAAAGTGAAGTAGTTTCTGTGACAAGTGGAAGGTAACAGAAATACAAAAACAAAGCACAATTGCTATATAACAACCTTGCAAATGCCCATTTTACGTGTCACACCTCCCCCAACTCAAACATCACAAATACATTAACATAACTCGGGTGGCGATTGTGAAGGCATGTCTCAACAGGTAAAAGTAGGCTATGTTCAATAAAAGGTGCAACATATTAGGAATACTTTTAGCTGTGAAAAGATAGGTAATAAATAAAAATAATCTAAAAACTAGAACTGTTATGTACTAAAACAGTACGAACACTCCTCTTAAACTAATGAGGCCTGAGTTTCAGTGCGTTCAAGCAGCGCTACGATAACCTTGTTCAAATTCCCTCAAAAACCATGATCCATCTCCCAATCCTCCTCCCTCTCAACATGACATGATTTTTGTGTAAACATACACGCCGCTTTCAAGTGAAGTGGCGTGTTATCTATATGCATTTTGAGCTATCCGCGTGTATGCGTGTATGTCTACGCCGTTAAATGTCCAAGTGATTCTGTGTGTATGTACACACCGTTAAATGTCAGACCGAAACGAAGCAAAATGTAGATCTATGTCATCTGGGGAGTGATATTTTTTTTCCTAGGATGGTAGGAGAAGACTCATATGGTATTAACCCCAGTGACAGTAACGTTAAATCAACGGCGTTCATAAACACGCTGAAAAGCAATTATGCGTGTTGATAGCACGCCAAAAATGGAAATACGAATTGCCGTGTCATACATACGCCATTTCATGAGGTCAGTTTGTCCCTCTAGTGACGGCTGCCTTAAATGCACATTTTCCTGGTTACCGATTGGAGCATACAATTTTTTATTCATGTTTTAATTAAACTTGATTAATAAATGCACAAGATGATTAAGAACAAGAGTTTAAAAAAAGTCAATAAATACAAAAAAGGACATCACACATTTACACATTTCCATAAATAGCTAAAATGAGCTCTCCCTTACTGTTTGCGCTATTTAAGGTGAAGACTTACTATACATAATTGTTGCCGTGGCACGATTAGCCAGCATATTAGCAACAATTAGGAACAATCTGTATTGTAAAAAGCATTATATAAATAAATGTGG